ATATAATCCTTCAAAATTAAAATGTAAATACACATTTATATCTAAATAATTGATGTAATTGATTTAATGGCACAATAATTTATTTGTCAAACTTCTTTTTGACCCTATAATTTATTTTATTACGCCAGTTATATATTTATACATTTATTTCCAATAATGATAGGTTTGGTCCTCCATATGTATCATCGTAACAAACAAGACAAATTAAGTCATATATATGGATTTAATTATAATATCAGAATGATCCAGGTATCAAAATGTAGCTTTTAAAGTAGGAATCTGAAAATGTAATTAGGTCATTTTGACCAAATTGTACTTAATCCTCATTTTGATATGATGGGTCACAAATCAAAACAAAAATGTGTTTTTCGTTGCTCTGATTAAATTAGATGAAACCTTTCCTGTTTTAAGGTTGTTAGTGTTTTCAATTGTTTCTAGATGGCACAAAAAGTAAGGAAATCTGTGTCAATATTATTTTTATAACAATGTTTCTTGGGAATAAATCTCAGAGGCCTGCAGCCGCTCTTTGTAGCTTTGACCAAACGTTAAAAAACAGAAAAGTCTAGCTGTCACAGTTTTTTCTGTCAGTTTCTTCACAAATATGTAATCAATAATGCAAAGACCACAAAGCATGATATAATCAACATGTTTCACACATACTGTGTCAATTAGATCATGCTTGTAGTTTCTGACCACTTCAATAACCCGACTTCCAGCCTTAAAGGGTGGTTTTTATTTTCTCAAATCCATCTGGGATGTTTTGGAAATACCTTTTTTAACGAAGAAATCTGTTAAGTTGATTAGATAACAAAAGTAAAATAAATTTGGTACACTATCTTCTTTTCTGGTTTACATAAATATGATCTTATTTTTCTTTCTAAAGTGTAAAAATAACATTAAATGTTCAAATTCAGTATATATTTTGAGTTGTATAAAGTCACCTCCACTGTCCGTAAATCAGACCTTCAACGAACTTAAGGTGGCCCACGGGCCACTAGTTGATAACCACAGCTGGAGCACGTTTTGTGGCTCCGGACACATTAATACAAAGCTTTCAGACCCTTGTTTATGTGTTAACTTTTCAACACTGACCCAAAACAATAATGTGTTCATATAAAAACAACACATTTTGTGTTCAATTCGACACATTAATTGTGCTCATTATGTCCAGTTGTTTCAGTAGAACAACACATAAGGTGTAGAAAACAACACAATATGTGTTTACTTGATGCTAACACAGAAAATGTGTTAAAAATTATGAGTTAAACACACTGCTCCTTTGTGTTGCATCATGGGAAAATCTAAAGAAATCAGTGAAAATATGAAAACCTCTGTTTCATGCTTGTGTACAACTCATTGTAAAAAGATCGTTGTGTTTTGACTGAATCTTTTGTACTATTTTAAATAAAATGTTCTTCCAAGACTCCTCACTCAGAATATTAGATCAGTTTGAACACATTTTTTAGACTCACACAAAACGTGACTTAACCTTAAGATAAAATGTGTTTTTTTTATTATGAAATCGTTCAAAATATGTTGAAAATTTTGTGTTTATTTATTTAATAGAAAATGAGTCTAAATGGTTTAACAAATGTTATTATTCTGTCATTACCAGAGAAGCTCTTTCAGTTCACAGCTCAGCTAAGTTAAACATTTGTTTTGTCAAGTCTGGAATTTAAAAAGCTAAAATAAACAAGAACAAGAGATAAGCTAAAGTGGACATGTCCTGCTCCTTTTTCATTTAGATCCTTCAGTTGGGGTCTATATAAAGTGGAACTGCAATGCTTTGGTCTGAATTCCTCCTTACTGTAACTCCACAAGCCCCTCTTTCACCCTTTTTCTCTGAGCTGTGTCTCAGATCAACTCAGTTTGAGGCTGTTTCTTTAAATCCAAACAAAGCGCTTCACACCACAGCTCCTCCAGCTTCCAGACCGGTCCATTCTAGTTTCATAGAAGGGTTTACAAGTGTGTTTCCCAAAGTTGGGGTCGGGACCCAAAGTGGGGTCCTGAAACATCAAGGTGGGGTCCTGAAAAGATTTTCTGAATTAATTATATTTTTGCCTTAGTTGTTACAAAGGAGTGAGGTTAGTGTATTTAAAATGGATAAATGTAGTATAAAAATATTGTTACTATGCCCATGTTTATTGACCTGATACAAATGTTTTATCATCCAGAAACAGTTGGGGTCACAGGTCTCTAATGTTATTTTGTGGGTCAAAAGCTGAAAAGTTTGGGAATCGCAGGTATAAAGTACCTGAAAGCGATAGTTGAGTAAAAGTACAAGCATCGTATCATAAGAATACTTTGGTAAAAGTTAAAGT